CGTAGTAATCCAGCGTGTGGATATTCAACGCGTAGTAATCCAGCGTGTGGATATTCAACGCATAGTAATTCAACGCGTAGGAATCTAATGCGTGGTAATCTAACGCGTAGTTAACCAACGCGTAGTAATCTAGTCCGTAATAATCCAACGCGTAATAATCTTATCCAGAATCACATCAACTACTCTCCATTTCAGGGACCTATACTAATTGTAAGACACCGTATATGTTATACATCCATACATCAATAATAGGATAGGATTCATAACCTTGCGTTATAATAATTACTTATAATATCATTACCATGCATCTATTATTAACAGTGATATAAAAGACCTTTAAAGAACGAACTATATAAAAATAACCGGTGTAACAATATAAATAGTTTAGGATTCAAAACCTTGAATTAAAAGGTTAACGGTGTCTCGTACAGATTTGATCGATTCTCGCAGCTCAATTCACCGGCGAGTCTTCGCGATAACGTTTTGTCATTGACAAGCCATCGGTATGAGAGATGTTTATCGGTATAATAGAAAAGCCAATGGCCATTTTTCTAGAGCCGTTTCAATGCTCGGAATAAAATACCTTACCAATGCGGCCAGAGATGAAATTTCCACTCGCTGAGCAACGAAGTTTAGATCGACTTCGATCCAATCCAAGTCTAAACAATGCCGATTGCTTTCCAACCGGACGATAAATAACAAGAGCGAAATATAAACATTCTGAAATTACTTTCTAAACACCGCGGGAATTATTCGACGGTTATTGGAATAATTTCCCGAAACGTTATTTGCGTATGAAAATTATCTTTCACTCGCTGAATGCTACTAGTAGCCAGACACTAGAATATTGATTATGGACGTTACGATTCATTTCACTGGTTTATCTTTTAATTTGTCAGGATCATTAATTTTATAGAAAGCCTTCAAAAAGCTTTTTACAAATTTTTTAATATGACTGAATATCATTGAATTTGCTAAAAGTATGACGCACCTGGTGTGTCATCGTTTGAACTAGATCATGTGTGACGCATATGTTACGTCGACAGCTACATAACATACATAATAACGTGACATACATTGTGCATAATGAACCATATTGAATTTGTAAATATATGACGCACGTAATGCGTCATCGATTGAACCAGATCATGTGAGACGCATATGTTGCGTCGACAGGTACATAGTATACATAGTATGACACACATTGTGCATGATGAATCATATTGAATTTGTAAATATATGACGCATCTGGTGCGTCATGGTTGAACCACATCGACCATATAAGACACATACGTTGCGTCATCAGTTGAATTATTACCAAACTTTAAATAACATCTAAATAATTAAAATAAAAATTTAAATATCCAAATAACTAAAGTAAAAATTCACATAATATCTGGAAGATTAAAATAAAATTTCAAATAATATCTGACTAAAATTAAGATAAGACCCAAAGGACTAATTTTCAAGATTACAAATGAGATTCGAACGGAAAGAGATTACACAGTCTGCTATCGTTCTAATAATGTAAGACAGTAATTTGCAAACTTACGAATCTTGATCTCAATCGGTTTGAATCCGTGATATTTGAAGGGTCAACTACTCTAGCAAACGACGCCATAACGTTTACCTGTAAGGGCCAAACTTGGCATAAGAAGTGTGGAACAGGAAACGAGGCTATCCAACCAAAACTTCAGTATTCAACCAAATTGTTCGCCGATCTTGTACAACTACACTGAAACAGAAGCTGAGATATCCAGTCACTTGTCAAACATAGTACTGTCGATAGAAACAGATCTTGTTAGCAATAATTGTCGTCGTTGTTGTTCCTGTTCGAGAAATTGCGTCGCGAATGGTCGGCTATTCGAAAGTTCTCGATCTCGTCGCAAATTACGGAATTAATTCTCGATCGTGGATTCTCTGCTTTGTGTTCTGCAAATCTGATTTAATTTGCGACGATAAACTTTAAATCAAATTCCCTGAATCGATCGAGATTTTGCTAAAAATAAGTATTACTTCAATAACAAGAATAAAATTTTAAATAAAATTTTTTTACATTTTTTTGACATGTAAGATTTTTTACATTTCTGTGTCTTTAATTAAAAATTGAATGGTCTTAAAATTATGACCATTGTAAATTAAAAATTGACAACTTCAAAAATTTCTCATATTTTAAATTTTGTTTTCAAATTGAAAGACTAAATTTTCATATCATTATGAAAATCTGCATATCATTATTTAAATAACAAATTTCAGTTCTTATGTATATTTATTTATTTCTAAATAAATGGAAATCAATAAACGCATCAAACCTCAATCACGAAAATAACCCTCGATTCGACCCTCGTTATCCCATCAGGCTGTTTAGGGAACCCTAGGCATACACATCAAATAAAATATTTTTCAATTCACTTTGGACCCAATAAATCCAAACCGAGCTATAAAAGTCCCGCAAGAATATACTCGTGATTCTGAAAATTATGAATATCGTCCCATGTCAGAAGACGTCCATGTTCTAAATAATTAAAGTATAGTAATTCCCAGAAGTGGCAAGGGTAATGTCAGGTAAACATTTCGCATTATCTCGAGTTGACTTCATGCAACCGGAAGTGTTGGTCCTGAGGGAATATCGTTCCTTACACTCGTACCGTAGTTACTCATGCAACTTCGCTCTATCCTGTACTCGCTCAGCTTTTTACGAGTTTCCTGATCGTTTCTCTCTTAGACTTTTACGCTTACAATGAAGATAATAACTTACTCTAGACTCGGCTCAGATGTTCTATGTCACGGAATATGAAATCTTGATCTTTATTATCGTGGGAGTTGCAGGAGTTGTTAGTAAATGCGTTTTAATTGGACGTTTGGTAATTGCACGCGAGATAATTGAACACATCATGCAAGGACGCGATGGTTCTATTAGTAGAGCGTTTTGGTAGTTCAAAGTGTGATAGTTCACACAAATGATTTGGTAATTTAGTATGATGGGGATTCGATGCGTGGTAATTTAACGCTTGGTAGTTCGGGGCGTGGTACTTCATCGGATTGTAATTCGATGCGTGGTGATTCAACATGTGCTGGATCAGTGCATTAGAATTCTACGCGTGGTAATTCGACCCGTAGTAATTCCACGCGTGGTAATTCAACGCGAGGTAATTCGACCCATAGTAATTCAACGCATGGTAATTCAGTGCGTGGTAATTCCAACGCGTGGTAATTCAACGTGTGGTAATTCGACCCATAGTAATTCAACGCGTGGTAATTCCGCACGTGGTAATTCCAACGCGTGGTAATTCGACCCATCGTAATTCAACGCGTGCTAATTCTGCGCGTGGTAATTCCAACGCGTGGTACTTCAGTGCATGGTAATTCGA